AAGGCCACCTGCAGCAACAGCCCCCAGCCCTGGGGAGGGCTCCAGGGCAGGCAGAGCATCCCTTGCTGCACCCAACGGTTCACACACTGCTCCACTTGCACCAGGGCTCTTGCAACAAGGCTGGCGAGGCAGAGACTTTGGGGCAGGCTGAGGAGAGCCTGCAGCAACCCCCCGGGGCACAGGCAGCCCCTTCCTGGGAGCACCCCACCTGCCTGGCATGGCAGAGGGCTGGTTTTCTGCCCTCTCTCCCTGGGAAGGCAGCGCTGAGACTCTCAGCTTAGATGAGAAGAGATCCCTGCTGAATTTCCAATGCATGCCTGCTCACAGCTCTTCCCAACAAGACCCACCCCACATCCCAGCCCCACATCACCCACGGAGCACAAGGGTACGATGCTGGGAGGATGGCTGCATCTGGCCCCGAGTCCCAGACAATCCACTCTGGAAGGCTGGGGGTCATCCAGCAGGAAGGCAGGGCTGTGCGCCCCTTCCCCATCACTCCTCCCCAGTCCGACAAGCAATATGTGCACCACGGGTGTTAGTGCTGGGGGCATGCAGAGGCAGGTCCAGGGTGGTATGCAAGAAGTGCTGGGGAGAATGAAGGGGTCACCATGCATCCTGGGAAGAAGGTAAGCTGGCCTGGAGGGCACCCAAACAGTAGGTTGGGATACCTGCCATGCTCCCAGAGCAGTTCTGGAAAGCACGGAGAGGAGGGAAGTGCCTGGACACACACAAAGGCACCCCAAGCTCCTTCCTTCCTCTGCCAGCTGTGACCACAGATCCTCTTGGACAAAAATCTGGGTGCAATGAAGAGCAACAGCCCAGAGCAGGGCTCCTTTCCACGTGCTATGGGTTCTGCTGGCAGTGCAGAACCTGCAGCCTGGTGCAACCACTCTGCTCTCCCATCCAGTTTTCACTTGCTTCCTTAAAACCACCTGGAGTTTTGTCCTTGCACTGTTAGGTGACCCAAGGGCTGGAGGCAAATGTCCAGTTCCCAGCCACAGAGACGAGGTACCCAAGGAGGGATGCTCAGGGAGGCAGGGAGCAAGGAGACAGCAGGAAAGGCTGAGGCACGTACCCAGAGACAGACACCTCTAGGGCAGGCACAGCCGTCCTCTGTTGGGTTTGAGCTGCACTCTCTCTCACAGAGCAGGTACCCGCATCTGGTTTGCCCCCACAAGACTTCTCTTGTTCCACTGCAGGGTGAGGCTCTTCCTCCCTTGCCCGTGTCCCTCAAGAGCACCAGTCATGTCAAAGCCAGAAGTCACCATAGACAACAGCAGCAGCTTCACCCAGGCAGGCTCTGCAGGCCAGAGGAAGCCCAAGTTTGTGCTAAGGACCGTGTCGCGCACTCCTGCGGTGCAGCCGTGATGTGGGAGACCCAGTGGCGTCCCACTATCGCTGAAAGCACAGCGGGCTTCACCGTAGCACCCAGGACTTACCCGCTCGAGCACAGCATCATTGAGGACTGGGACAGCATGGAAAATCTGTGGAGTCACCTCTACTTCTGTGGCCTGAAGGTCCCCCCAGAAGAACAGCCCCTGCTCATGGCTGACTCCCCTTCTTGCCCCTTCTTGCCCTTCTGCACGTGGCTAACACCAGGTTTCTCCCCCTCTGCGCCTACGGCAGAGTCACTGGTCTGGCCGTGAAGGCTGGGGCAGGTGTCCCATGTCTCCTCTGTCTACCTAGGCCAGACCTGGAGGGAGGCCACCTACTGCCTTGGGGTGGCCAGTGGGACCCTCTCCCGCCACCTGCACAGCCTGCTCATGGAGAGCCCCAATGACCCCTTGGTGCTCAATGCCTTGAAGAGGAAGACAGTGATCCAGCTGAAGAAGCAATGCTGCTATGTCTCCATAGACTACGAAGGTGACCTCCAGAACCAAGGCTACCATCATACAGCCAGATTTCAGACCCCCAATGGGCGCTGGATAACCCTGGACAAGGAACGGTTCTGCTGCCCTGAGCCACTCTTCCAGCCGACACTACTCTACCAAAGCTCCCCAGGGCTCCACCACTTGGCCTTGCAGAGCCTCCAGAAGGTACCTGACCACGCCAGGAGGGACACAGTGGGCAACATTGTGCTGTCAGGGGGCTCTTCAATGTTTCCTGGCTTTCCTGGATGTGCTTAGAGCTCAACGCTCTGTTCCAGAGCACGGGCAGCCAGATCCAGGTCCTGGCGAGCCCGGAGAGAAGCACAGCAGCCTGGGCTGGGGGGTCGATGGCAGCATCACTCATGTCCTTCCAGCACACGTGCACAAGATATTCCAGTAGGCAGACACCAACCATGCATTCAAAGCATCCCACCAGCATGGCACAGCTCCTGCTGCAGGAGGAGGGTCTCCAAAACACTGCTTTGGTCTGGGCAGAGCTGTGGTGACAGTGGTGACCAAGCTCCTGGGCTGCTACAGAAATGCAAAGTGGATTCAAATGCTCCAAAAGAAGTAAACTGCTTTTCATTTCCACTCCGTGTTATTTCTGTGTCTATCCACCATCACTCTAATAAGCATGTGTCCTATCAGGCCAGCAACATGCCCGTGGCTCGTGCTGTGAATCCAGGCCATGCCGGCTGTCGGGGACAGCTGGGCTACAGGCGGCCCCAACGCTCCAAGCTGGAGGCCATGCACATCCAGGGCACTGCAGCAAAGCCAGGCTTTTAGAACACACTGCTGGGAAGGCAGCTGCTCTGGCAGAAAGCTCCTTCCAGCAGTCAGTGAAGCAGGACCTCAAAGGTCCGTGGGGAGCCGCAGGGGTGGGAGGAAGGAGCTGGGGAAGAGAAGGTGCCTGCACTGCAGCAACTGTACTGCGGGATGCGATTTCTGAACTTGGCACTGCAGCAGCTCAGCTCCGGGTACAGAGGATGACCTGGTGAAAACCAGGGAAATGAATCCGCTCCTTGCAATTCTGGTATAAAGCTCATTTGGTGCTTCAGGGAGCCGATTCGGCTCACTGAATAGGCAGAAAAGCGCTCACCTGCCTTTGCTGCTGCTTTAGTGAACTGACTTAGCTTAGCAGGCAACTAGAAAAGGATGAGAGTTTGCACAGGAGAAGCACTGCCCAGCTGTCACAGCAGACTCCTTCCTGCATGGCCAGTCCCGGGCCCAGCTTCTCAAGGGACAAAGAAACACTAGGACATCACTGTGAGCTTTCAGAGAGACAGGAATGGTGGTGGGAGGCCAAGTAAGGAGCCTCTATGCGATGCAGGAGGGCTGGCTGCTCTGCAGGAGCACCCACTAGGAGAGGTCAACCCTGACGAGCCAAGGAGACAGACTTGACCAGCCACCTCCACCTTCCCTGTGGTGCCCTCACGCACCTTGATAATGCGGCACAGACCAGGAGCCAGCCTGCCTTCACCCTCCTGAGCACCGCAAACTCCCGCTTATGTCTCCAATATAGAGTCCAGCAATGCTACCACATTACCCAGGTCAAATATTTCCAATTCCTACAGCATTCCTCTCCAACATGCAGGAAAACCAAGGACCTTGAGTTCCACAAGCTCTGCACAAAAGCATGTGGATGTAACCCTTCTGATGCTGGTATAAAAAATTGTTGAGAAGGGGAAGCAGCGGGGAGGGTCTTGAGCCCCACATGGTTTTCCGGTTCCTCTGTGCCACAGCCGGGCCACCAGCCCAGTCCCAGAGCTGTGTCTGCCTGGGGCTGCTGGCCCAGGCACCGGATAAGTGCTCATGTATTGAGCACTGCCCTGGGCTCCTAATGGAGGGCGAAGGATGGCCACAGCCATTCCCACACCCCCCACCACTTGGGCGGGCAGAGCCCTCCGTCCAGCAGCCATGCTGCCAGGGGGTTTTCATTCGTGCTCGAAAATCAATGTAATTTTTCTGCCAGAGGAAAAGGATGGCAGCAAACCCAATCTGACATTGCCACGGGAAGCTGAGCTCCAGCTCTGCATCTCTGGGCTCTCTCCAGCTGAGCATCCCACCTGCTCCCACGAGCCTTCCTCCCCTATGGTCCCAGAAGATGGGGAGCACAGGGCTGGGGATCCCATGCAGGGTCTCTGCCACTCCCCCTGCCCACTGCCTTCACCTCCTCATGCTCAAGGCGTCCAGGCTCCAAAATCCCCTCCAGTGCCACTCCTCACTCCAGCCAGCCCAGACACACACCCTCTGCTTAGAGGGGAACAACTGACACTCAGACCTCCCCAGGACAAGCCTGAGAAAGCAAGCTGGAACGTATTAATTGACTGAATCCCCACGGAGGTGCATGGGAAGGGATACATTATTCATACACCACATGGCCGGGCACGGTCTGTTTCGTTTTGGGAGTTGGTCCAAATCCAAACACCCTCACCCCTCTCTCTGCACAGAGGGCACTTCCCACAGCCGCCAGCCTCTGCAGCCGTGCAGACCCATTTAATGACTTGTGCTCCCATCCCTGATGCATCCTCCCCAGCCCCCCGCAGCCTTGTCATACGGATGCTTCCCCTCGTGCAGGGGCCGGATGCTTCTCCCCAACTGCATCGCTCCCCTTCAAAGGGCAAGGTGCTGGGAGAAGCCCCGGCGTCAAGCCAGCCTCCCAGCACTCCCCATCCTCTCAACTTTCATCCTGGGGATGGCTTTTTCCTGGTGTCGTCTACAGATAATGTTGGTGGATGGAGTTTTATCGCAGGAGCAGGCAGCTGCCCCCACCAACCTCATGTCATGGCTGTGGGGGGGGGGGGCACCTTCAGCCTGCCCTGAGCCCCACAGCTCACCCCAGCACAGTCCTTACACCCCAAATGCACAGGCACCAGGCTGAGGTGCCACCCCCAAAACCCAACTACCAGCCTGGGGCACACCATGCTCAGAGAGGACTCAGCTCCAAAGCTCACCATGCAGAGGGCTCCCCATCCTCCTCCTCCCAGCACACCCCAGCCCACCCTGTAAGGGCAAAGCAGGATCCCACGCAGACACGCCAGAATTTCAGGCGAGCACTGCACACCACGAGCCAGCTGCCTCCTGTCTCTCGCCTCGTCAAACACAGCACGCCCAGGGGAACGCGCCGGAGAGAAGGACGGAAATAACCATCTCTCAGGAGAGCCCTGAATACTCTTTCACCCTTCTGCATTGACTTGGAAAATTTCATGCCAGGGGAGGGAATAAATTGAAAATGTATCTTCTGTTTGATTCAGCTGCCCTTCACACTCCTCACTTGGGGGCAAACAAGCAAAACCCTCTTGTCTGGTGCTGCACCACGCAGTTCAAACCCTTCTGTAAAGGGGCTCAATAAAAATGTGCTCTGTCTCACTGAGCACAGCGTTTTCTGCGCACAGCAAAGACTCATGGAAAGGAGTCATGGAGGAAATAACTCAGCAAGCACGAGACAAGGCTTTTGGGTCGTGGACTGGTACTTCAGCTCCATTGACCCAGATGAAAATCCTAATGTTGCCAAGAACTGCTGTAATTCTGCTTTTGAGAGGTTTTATTAGTTTCTTATGATGATAGTTGAACTTGGGACAGAGTGCAATAGGTGATCACATAATTCCTGACAAAGGAGAAATAAGCGCCTGACTTGGAGAGGTATTTGTGGATTAGTTCAGAAAATGGAGAATGGAAAGATTTTAGCACACAGATCTCCTGTGAGAAAGATCAGACTGTTTCCCGAGGTATTTCCACACTTCACTTCTTACTCTGACACGATTATATTGCAAATGCAAAGCTTGGCCACGGGATAAGCTGTATTCAGTGTACCGCAGTACAGCTATCAACAGTTTCATTTTACAAATGTGAGTGGGAATGATGGAATTTGGAGAAAACCCCTCTTTTCCTGAAAGGGCCCCTCTTTCTTTACCATGTTTGTACCAACCCAGTGAGGAAGGATGGGAGCATAGGAACCCCTAACAATTTGTTTTCCTCCTGCCAACCTGTGGATCCATAACAAAGACCACTAGCAGGTTTGCTGCCCACACAAACGCTGTTTCCTACAGTAACTGCAGTCACTTACACAGCGAGAAGGATGAACCTGGCTTGGGTTTCCCACGCTTCATCGCAGGGTTTATCCTGACAGCATGCACAACAGGCAGATCGAGGAGCTGGTCAGCGAGGAGCCAGTCACTGAGACACACCATCGATCCCATCCGGGTACCCTGACCCGCAGCAACAGCAACAGCACACGCAGAGGTGGGAATCCTCGATACCAAAAAGGCTTTTGGTGGCACTGCTTCAAACCACAGCTCCCAAACAGAGCCACAGCATATTGCCTCCTAGCTCTGGTTTCCTATTTCCCTCTCCTCCCTGTAGCTCATCCTCCTGGCACTGCGCAAGCCTCAGGCATCTCCCAGGCTCTGCTTTTGCTGTGCTCTCTGTCTGTTTTCCTCCTCATACAGTGGGCTCATATTTTCATGAGCATTTTTACAGCTGTGGGGTAAGTACCTGGAGGATGCAGCAGAGAGCAATCCTGTGGCAGCAGAAGGAACTACTGGAGACAGACCATGCCCTAACCAAGAGATGCTGTGGTTCAACCGGCAAGACCCAGCTCAAGTCAGAAATCCCCTTCTAGCTGGTCCAGGTATCACTGTCTCCTTGGGAGTCAAACAAAGCTATCATAAACACAGCCTGGGGAAAAACAGGCAGAGACTGAAGATCCTCCAGCATCTGTTGACTCCCCAGCCCTGTTCTGGAAGCACAGCTTTATGGCGAGGGCTGTTGGAGGGGGCAGGTCTCTTCCAGTCTTCTCAGCGGACAGCACAGCTGCACCTCCAGCAAAAGCAGCTCCCTAGGATGAAGTTTCATTCAACTCCTCCAAGAGGGTGGTCTCTGCAAAATTGGGGTCCTCCATCCTCAGCCATGGTGGCTTTAGAGGTGTTTGAATCCACAGAGATGAGGGGCAGACATGTAATATGGAAAACCTCTGTTCTCTGCCCCCTACTCTGGCTCAGAGAGGTGTGAGCTTTGGCTAAAATCCAACCTAATAACCCCACTAATCCTGTAATAACCCAAAATCAATTCCCACTCTGGAAATACAAACATGGGAATATATTCAGGTCACAGCAGGTAAGAGTGCAGCATTTATCATCCCTGCCAGCCTCTGGCAGCGGCAGATTTCCCACAGCTCTGCAAGAGCCCTGACCTAAGGGTGGGAGCACTGCCCTCTCCTGCATTCTCCCAGTGCAGAGCCCAGCAGACCAGGGAAGCACTGGGAGATGCTTCCCGGGAGCGTCTGTATCTGCACTGGGCCACCTAGGAGCTCAGGGCTGGGATCCAGAGCACCCAGATCAACACAGACCTCGCCCGGGTGAGAGCAGTGCTGTGAACACTGGGCTGCCCTGGCCCCCTGGCAGATCCAAGCACAAGTGGAAAAGCAAGCCCACAAAAATCTGTTTCAACAGGCAAAACCTGCTTCTCTTTCCCAGGGAACACCTGTGGCACCAGAAACTATGAAGTGAATGAACACATCATAGCAATACCAGGGAGCAGACAGTAATTGCGCTGTCCTTTGAGAAATACACAAATATACAAATTCATTACCAAATAAAACCAAAACAGAAAAGAACTGAAATAAAGCATAGCTCTCTGAAGAGGATTCATTCTCTCCCTCTGGACTTGCATTTAGTAACTGTGAAGGGGGCTGAGCAGCTGAACCAAAGAGAAAATGCATCTTTAAGTGACTCCCCCTCCTGGCATGAAATTTCCCAATGTACAGCGAGACGCTGCTGGGGCTGGATCCAGCCAGAGGGAAACTCAAAGAGAGGGCAAGATGGGGACTGACACACAGAGGCACAAACACCACTTCAATGACTCTGCAGAGCTGACAGCCAGGCTGGTCCCCCTTCTCTTCTCTGCCCAATCAATAGGTCAGTGGATGGTGTGCACCTGGATGATGTCCCTCATCTGCTTCTTGCCAAGCATCAAACCTCCACGTCGAAGGGAAAGAAAGGGTCGGCCCTTCCCACGGCTGTGAAACAGCATCAGCACAAAGCACATGGCTAAACCATTTAATACATTTTGGATGCAAAGGGGCTGCTGGTCCCCAAGGAGGGTCCCTTCGAGTACTGGCCACCACTTTTTGGCGGCTGTATTTAGCCCGTGACGCTGCGCACTGCAGACCATCGCCCTCTGACACAGATGCAGGGGGGCTCACAAAGCAGGAGGCCGCTTGCCCTCATTAGCAGCCTCCAATCTGCCTCCCATCAGTACAAGCTGCAGGGAGAGAATTCACTGCAGTGATAAACTCGGCACCAGGCTGGGAGTCAATGAATTTCACCCTTCCCGACCTTCTCCCAAGCACCTCACTTTTTCCCAAAGCAGCATTCCTGAAGCAGCTCCTGCCCCCGCACCGGCAGCCAACTTTTGCCGCTGTGAGCACAGGCTGTGCCGAGCACAAGCTGCTGGGGTCAGTCCAAACCACACTGCTTTGCAGAAAAGACCTTGCTTTGGCCCAGAGATGCAGCACTTAGGTTATCAGCAATGCTCCCAGAAACAGCATCCCAAGGCAGGACCCCGCAAGCAGTCTGCAAGGAGCTGCTGAAGCAATTGCTCCAGACCCCTGTGAGGAAGAAGAGCCCAAAGACATCTCCAGAGCACCAAAGCACTGGCCCTAGCCTTATCCTCCTCTGGTGCAGCTCCACCTCCTCCAGGCATCCTGCAGGCTGTGCTGCTGCAGCGCTCGCTGCACGTGGAGAGAACCGAAGCACACACAGGAAACCCCACTGATCTGAGAGGTACCACATTTGCTGCTTCCAACACCTAAATTTAATACCTCGCGAGGAGCTAAGATCACCGTGGCTTCTGTTACGCACCCACCTGCCCCACTGCCCTCCCACAGTCCCATCCTTACCAGCTTGGTTTTGTCCATGGCCACCAGGACCGCAGAGTTGAGGGCTTCCAGAGCAGAAAGCACATTCCTGTACTCTCCGAGATATGCTGAGAAATAATCTGAAGCAGGAGAGAAGAGCACAGTGAGCTTCCCAAGCGCCTCCATCCCTGCCTGTCCTGCTTCTGCCGCTTCCCACACACAGCCCAGCGCTTCAGGGGGCCATTCACATCCCTCTCCAGAGTCACCCTCCTACCTGGACTGAAATGAAGAGTCCTTTCCTGTCCCCAAGGACAAAATGTCCCATCCCTTTAGAAACCCATAGATGCCCTCTGTGCTGAGATTCAGGCACAGGGACTGCCAGTGCGACTTGACGACCTAGCCCTGCCCAGGTCAGACATGTACAAAGCCCCACCGCAGACCCTCAAGAAAGGACATCCTCTGAGGCAGGAGTAGGAGCCTACTTACCACACAACTTCTCTGTGTCCACGTTGCTGCAAGAAACGGAAAAACAAGCTCTTGTTAGATGGTGGGGTTGGTTCAGGAGAAACAGCTGCAGTGAGCAGGGTCTTGAGGGCTTGTCTTGAGCCCCCAATGGATTTACTGCTCTTCCCATGTATTTTTAAAAAATGTATTAGAAAAATAAAAGCTCCACAAGTTTAGAGCTCAGAAGCTGTGCCCAGCACCTAGGGAGGGCTGCAGAGCACCACCTCTGTTTCAGGGGCCAAAGGAGCAAGCAAAGCTGCTCCACCAACATCTCCTGGAGCTGGAGCGTGCTGGGAAAGTGCCCGTGAGAGCAGGATGGGGCTGGGGGGGGGAGGTCAGTGGAGGCAGGCAGAGCCCTACACCCCCGGGCTGGCAGCCCCATGTCTGAGCCCTGGAGCTGATGAGCCCCAGAAGCTGCTTCATCAACCCAACCTCTTCCCCCAAAGGTGTGAAGCGTTCAGCCAGGGCTCCCTCCTTGTGTGTCCCTTCACCTCAGCCCAGATCCTCCCTCATGGCTGCCCCAACTGGCACCAGGCACCCACGTCTCTGATCTTCCCCATGGGTGCCCCCGGCTGCTCCTCCTCTTCCCTGCCTTCAGAGCCCTGGTGATGTGGGGCTGCCTTCAGGCTCCCAGGGCAGGGGGCTGGATGGCTTCACAGCCCACAAGAGGGGTTGTTGCTGCTGCAAAGGCCCTTAAAGCAGGGATCTGGGTCCAAAAACACACAGGCAGGGGCCAGCCCCCTGCTCCTTTTCAGAAACAGAGTGCACTGCACTGGTGAATCAGTGCTGGCCTCCCTGCAGGGCTTGGACCGGTCCCTCCTGCTGCTGGGGTGGAGAGGGAGAAGGAAATGTCCAGAAACAGACACATGTTGTCAGGGCGGGATGTCAAGCAGAACTGTGGGCTCGCAGGAACCTGTCAGATCTGCTCAGGTGGCCAAAGCCCCAGAGGCAGAGCAGCTTGTGATGCCCGGCATCACCTGCAGGGAAATGCCCCAGGATATCTTTTATTCAAATCAGCCTCTGCTCAAGAAATTCTGCTGTCTCAAAATCTCCTAAATTATTATAACCACTTTTAATCCTGATTGCAAAAGTGGAAGAGAGCACTAAAGAGAGTTTTTTAAGTGTTTAAGTGCTGTCACACATTGAGGAACCAGGGATACCTGGAGTTTGCTGGGCTCCAAGCACAAGGATGGCTGCAGTGCCACCGCCCAGGGGAAGTCAAACCACAGCTGCATCACCCTGTCTCCGCTCCGACACTGCTCACAGGGCAAAGGGGCTAAAACGCCCCAAGGCAAAATTAGAGAGCATGCAAAATGTCCAAAATGCCATGCCAGAAACAGGTGTAATAATTTAAAGAAAATCTCCCTACAGCTTTTCCCCCAAACACCAAAGGCTGGTTTCTGTATCTCTCTTTCTGCTGGGCTTCCACTTAGTGTATTTTAGTAATAGGCAGTGCTTCAAATTATGAATATATTTTGGTGCGAGACGTCATCACAGAGCCAGGGCAGCAGGACTGCAGACCCCTCTGTTCAGCTAATTGCACCAGGCGCCTTCTTAGGAAATGGAGACGGACAGTTTTAGGATGTGATTTGGCTCATCTATTTTAAACACCTACCGCAGGAGCTGATTAAGGGAGAGCTCTGGCATGCTGTCCTGGCACTGCAGACACTTTTTAAAGTGGATTAAAAAAAAATAGTGATTCCCTTGAGACGCAATCCAGATAATCAGCAAAACCACAGCCCCTTCTTCTGTGACTCCACTCCGTCAAACTTTGATGATCCCATCTCTGAGCAGTTCCACGCATCTGACCACAGCTCTGCTAGACAGAGTGACTGGAGTTTGAAGCACAAATTTAAATTGGAAAAATGTCTTGCTTCTTCTTAATTTTTCCACTTATTTCTGAAAGCTGCCTGCAGAGCCACTGCTGCTGCACTGCCACAAAAGACTTGGCACCGCAGCATCCACAGCACTGCTTGTTAGACCCATGCCCCAGAATTATAACTACAGCCACTGGTTCCCATGCAATAGATGGGTAAAAATCACAAAAGAGGGGATATGGACATGAGACAACAAAATACACAGTGAAACACCTAATGCATATGTTACCCAGGCATTTGCATCTGTCCCCAGTGAGAACCCAGGACTGGGACTGGTTTCACCAGGAGGAAGAAGGGGCCACCAGCTCAGCCCCCCACCCAGCTCCCCACCTTGACTCTAGTGAGCAGGTGATGGTGTGACAAAGAGCCACGGTCAATAAGCAACCCTATGGCTTCTAAGGGGAGGCCAGAGATTATTAATAACTTTATCTTGTCTGTCTTCTGCTTAAAAACAAATGTTAACTCAATCACTAACACACAGGTTCCTCCATGTGTGACAATCACTGCTCACAGTTAAACTGAACCAATCGCCAAGACCTTGTGGCAAGAATCAGCCCTTCGGGAGCTGTCCTGCAGAAGATCGACTCCCTTCCCAGCGCAGCCTGTTCCCTCAGCAGCCCTGCACGCCCACCTCTTCCCACCTTCCGCATCCCGTCGCAGCCCCTAGGGCAGGACAGAGCACTGCAAGCAAATCACAGGACCGACAGTGCCATTTTCATACTACCAGAAGCTACTTCATACCAGAAAATAGGAGCAGCTCACGTAGAGAGCCTGTCCCGACCCATTTTGCAGGGCTGCAATGGGGCAGCGGGCTTTGCTTTGCTCTGCTCCTCTCTCTGCCATCCCCTCTCCCACTCCAAGAGAAGAGCCATCCTCTGCCTCCAAAGCACTCATCCTGAGACTCTCCACATTTCCCCATAGCTGTATTTTGACTGTGTTCAAACCACTGATTAACTGTAATTAAGCTTGAACTGATGATGAATGATCTTGTCATCATTATGCTGTTGGGATTTTGTCAGAATGTGCCTGGAATTTATGCAAGAAAACAGCAATCAGCTTCTGCAAAGCAGATGGGACTTTTTTTTTTTTTTAATCATTTATCATGTTGGGAACCTCTGCTGCCGTCACAGATCTGGTTTCCAAACCTTTCCAGCGTGACACAGTCACTCCCCATCATTCAGAGACTGGCAGATGCTGCAGCTCTGCGTCTGTGACTAAAGAGAGGGGAAGAAAGTTCATACAAGTCCCTTCTTCCACAGAACCAGCAGCTTGAGGTTATTTCCACTGAGATTTTTTACAAACCACCAGGTCAGCACTCCCACCTCTTTTGCTTGTGTCTCGAGGTCAGAGACACAGGCTCTGGGCAGCCTGTACCCAATTTCTGCCATCACCATCTGACCACTCTCATGCAAAGGAGGATTTGCCAGACCTTATTTTTCTAAATTTTCCCAACAGACTCAGGACAGAAAGACACACGAGGTCCACGTGACAGCTCCCTGGGCAGGTTTCATACTGCAAAGAGCAGCAGGCATGCAACCTATGCAACACTGCAACGTTCAGACCAAATCCCTTTGCAACCAACTCTCTGTTAAGTCGTCCCCGTGAGATCCTGGGATCTGCTGCCATCCTGCCTGACTGGGCTGCAAACGGACACGCAGCTGCTCAGAGAGCAAACCGCATGGTGCATCTCACAAGCTCCTTCTGTGGCCACGGAGCTTTTTCATCCCTTCAAAAACATTTATCTCTTCTCACCCAGATGCTTCAGTGGATGAAAATGCACTTTTCTAGGAAGATGAATCTTTCTGTTCTGCACCAGAGCTGGTGTGGAGCTTTCTGATAAGCCAAATGAAACGGTGGATCTAGCTATTGTACCACATTGCAATAAAGAGTTGAATTCAGTTTCAACATAATTTTTAAAATGTCAAAGAATTAGAGCAAGGAGACATTTAAAAGCCAAAATGGAACAATTTTCAGAAATTAAGAACAAAAAAAGCCCTGTGGGGAAATGTAAAATCTGATCCAAGCCCAACAGAGGTGCCCGACACACAACCAAACATCCCACCTGAGTGCCGGGTGGATGGGAGGTGGAGCGAAGATCGGATGGGAAGGACGTGGAGAAAAGCAGTGTGGGGCCGTGGGCTCTCTGGAAGGAGAGCAAGTAATGTGTGAGAGCTCTGAACTACTCATCTTCCCAGCTGTCAGCTTGGGGACCCAGGGGAGCAGCCGCAGGTTTGTGAGGGTCGGGACATGTCTGGGCAGCGCTGTTACCCAGACACGGAGAGAGCCTGGGTGTAAAGGTTGCTGTTACTGTCTCTCCTTGGGTCAGGCTGGCACTGACAAGGAAACACAAGTTTCAGCCTAGACCTGACGAACACAGCACCCTTGTGCCCAAATCCACCCATAAGGGTGAAACTCTCCCATCATCAGAAAAGCTATGGGACATGAAAGAAACATGCCACGTAAGCTTGTAGTTGCTTTCCAGCTTTGTAATACTTGGAGTATTACCTCAGGTAATAACTCCTGAATCTGGCAGCAAATTTAATTCAGCTCTCAAAAATAAGAAGTTCCTGCAAATGCAAGGCAAGCAGGCAGCCTGGAGGAGAGGGGCTGTCCCACCCCCACATCGAGGGGACAGCAGGGCACCAGGACAGCCTTTACAAGACAAGTCTGGTTGCACAAAGAAGCAAGTCCCCCTGCACACCCCAAAAAAGAATGCCAGAAAGTCCAGCTCTACACACAGAGCCACCGAGACATCTACAGGACCCAGCACGCTGAACACTGCTTGATTTCCATCACCTGCTGCTGTGCAGTGGGCAAGCAGTCCCTGGGCAACCCCTGGGGACAGACTGGGTCATGGCTCCCTGGGGTCAGCCCTGTCTCTCCAAGTCCCTCATCCCAGCAGGCAGGCAGCCCTGGGTCAGGATCAGAGCATGCTGGCAGCCGCAGCGCTGTTTTCAGGGGACAGGATGCCTCTTACCAGACAATAAGCCGAGCGCCAGGCTCCCTCTCTGGGAGGTCCCAGCTCCTCCTCCTCCACAAGCTGGGGATGAAGCTAAAGAAAACAAGTACAGTTTCCTGCTGCCACCTCCTGCATCCCATCCCGCTCCCACCTGCTCACATTGAGGCTGTCCCATGCACTGACCCTGCGCACAGACAATGTCCCAGTCAGGGACAGAAACAAGAACCACACCTGCAACGGCCTCAGGGCTGGTCCTTCCCTTCTGCTCTTGCAGAAAAGAGGGGATCCTTGCAGGGCCAGCATCTCCTACCTTTGCTTGAAGTCACTGAACGCAGGAATCTACCCACAGCTCTGTCCGCAGGGTCCCTTCTGCTCTCCATGGCAGAAAGACATCAAAGACCCAACAGTCATCCCCTGCTAACAGATGTCACCAGCTTAATGTTGCAACTACCACGTTGTCATAGCTACCACACTGTCATTACACATAATGAGTTACAGAGAGCACCACAGCAGCCAGGGCTGTGTGGGGGTCTCGGAGACAGCCCGCTCACATGGGACCCTCTGGTCAGGCTTGTTTATCTGCTCCGGACAGACCAAAGAAGCCTGACCTGAAAGCAGTGGTAAACCAGGAGGTCTTCACCATCCAGCCAAGGGCACAGTTAAAACTCTCTGTTTTGCTGCAACCTGTGTTTTCCAGTGGTGTCATATGGGGGGGTGACTCCAAGGTCACCCAAAAATGGAACAAGAGGAAGGAGGCATTTGCAGAGGAAAGGGAATGGCTCTGCTAACTCCCTGGGATCACAGTCCAACCAGACAGAGCTATTTTCAGAAGATACCTCCTGCTGCCCACACCCAACAAGCCCACCTGGCAGGACAGGCAGCAACGAGTAGCCAAGCTTAAAAGAGAGCGGCACCAGGGGCTGCACACACCAGCCCACTTCTCTGCCCCTTCACTGAAGTGGGAGCATCAGCTAAACCCACCACCCCGACACTCTGCAGGAGTCAATCATCCCCACTCCCCCTGTCCCACGTGGATGATGTGGGGACTTGGAGCCAGGGATCGCTGGGTATCCACTGTCAGTGGCTCGGTGGCATTCGGTGGCTGTTGGCATCTCGGCCTGGCACAGGCCCTCTGTGCCACTGCCCTGGCTCCTGCAAAGCCCTCGGGGCCAGCGTGTGCAGCTAAGGCTGCTCTGAGGTACCCCTGCCTGGCATGGACCTGCTCAGACACCACCTGAGGGGTGCAGGAGACACTTCCTGAGGTGCCAGGAAAGTGGCACGAGCCAGAGCCAAGCCTGCCACCTGAGACCAGGAGGAGGCTGCAGCCACCTTCTCCCTCTGGCTGAACAGGCAGCTCCCAGACATGCAATTTCTCAACGGCCAGTTTCTCCCAGTGCCAAAACACACTCGTTCACAGCAGCCGGCAGGGCAGAGGGACCCCAGCAAGGCCACGCTGATATCTCAAAGCAGAAACCCATCTGAGCCCAACAGGCTCCTCCAGATAGCACCACTCAAGACGAGACCAGGGCTAAGTGCAATTCCTTCTCCTGTTCTTCGGGGGTTTCTTTTTTTAAAAGTAGCTGGCCTAAATTCACAGTTACACTCATAAGGCCCACTTCGGGTGGAAAGCAGATCTTACATAAGTGAAAAGCAGTTCCCTGTGTCAGCAGTGGCAAAGCCTGCGACTTTGCACAGTCTGTGCATCGTCCTCGCACCACCACATGCTCCTCCTGCAGGCACACAACCTGCTCTCTAGAGGTGTATATTTCTGGAATAGATTTTTCAAACTAACGTAATGCAATTTGAAATGTATTCCTGCTTTTACGGAGCTACTGTAAATCTGATAACGACTGTTCTCAGAATGTCTGGCTTCTCTCATCACCCATGCTTGTAGCTGGTGTTCAATGGGTTTTAACGTCTGCGTGTTACAAGAGGAAGGTTTATCTCACCCTGACTATTTATTGCACCCGCCTCCAAATGTCCTCCATCTACAGTCAAGCAGTTTTATATCCTCCTTCGTCTCCTCTCCTCTGTGCCACCACGGTACTTACTCTGAATGACGCCTGTCAATGCCACTGAACAACTCCCACAGCTCCTCTGAGCTCAGGATCCCATCAGCAAAATAGTTCTTGAACTCCTCAAATGACAGCTTCCCATCATCTGCATTTAAATAAAAAAGAAGAATAATTATAGATCTGCAGAAAGAAGCATACAGGCCCCAGCGATCCTCCCAGCAGCCTCTCTACCAGCAGCGTGGGACGGTTGGGCGTGTTGTGCATAATAATTAGAGCAGATATCTCACTGAAAGCATGTCCCACCAGTCCCCACCAAAAACCCAGGAGCACTGGCGAGCAGGGCCACTGCTGCTGGGATTTCAGGTGGGGATTTCAGCCCCTTCCAAAAGACCCCACCACAACATTTTAAAAAATGCATGCAAACACACTGTGGTTAGATGACTGTCCAAGCTGATTGTTAAGTACAGAGTCCATTACAGATGGCACAGTGAGGACAGCATCAGGTTTTTACGGAAAGAAAATCTCTCCATTACTAAAGAGCTTTTTACTTCCTCTATGTGGAGGACTTTAGCTCCTGAGCTGCATTTTAATCTGCAACAAAAACAGCTCCTGGATCCTGCAAGCTACCGTGAAGCAGAGGCCAAGACAGGGTGGGAAGGCTCAGAGAAATGACTTGCGATTTTGGACTTCTTGGTTTATGGGTGCCAGGTTAAAAACCGGGTAGCAGAGCTTAACTCTCAAATGCCAGGGGCTCCAGTGGGCATCCAGGAACAGGGTCACCCAAGAAAGGGCACCTGTAAAACCCTGGACTGAGCACAAAGACTGAGTCAATCCTGCACGGGACAGAGCAGAAGCCTGACAGTCCCTGGGCTGCCGGCTGCACAGCTCGCTTCACCTTCCCTTGTCACTGCTAGCGGGCAGGAGAAGGGCTTGAAAAAAGGGGCTCTGTCCTGTGTGGCGCACAGAATGTGAATTGGGGGAACCCACTTCACCAGCCCCTGGCCAGGCCCTTTGCTCCAGTGCCTTTCCTCCAGGCAAAGCAGAAAAGCATTTTTCTTGCAGCCAGAGAGCTGCTTGCCTTCACTCTTTCAGACAAACGTCCCAGTAGGGACGAGCTGCACTGCTTTGCCCAGACCTGGGCAGGGAGGGGGAGGCAGCAGCAGGAACAAAGCACTCACCGTTCTTATCGGCTCGTCGGAAAATCTGCAAGAGAAAACATGACAAGGTTTAGTGAGGCAGGAGGGAAAGCAGTGTGGCCAGAGAGCCAGGTGGCACCCGGCACTGCCACTACAGCAAAACCACCCCCCAGAGCCCAGAGAGCTGCGGAGAAGCCCCCCGCTGCCAGGGCTGCACGGGCCAGCACTGCACAGGCTGCTCCAGGGAAATTCCCCTTCGCAAACGATTAAAACCATTTCTTGCCTCCAATGCACAAAGCTCTCAACACAGCTGCTGCTGCCCGAGAGAGTCCAGTGCTCGCAGAGAGCCTCTTTTAGAGAACACAGAAGGAGAGGAAGTAGAAAGGGCTTTGCTACACCCTTGTGATGGAAAGCGTTTAATTTTTCAGACCTTTTAAATGAAAGAACATTAAGCATAAACCCACTGCATAACAGGAGCACTTTGTGCATCGCTGCCGACACTTCAACCATCTGCACCAAGGAACAGCTCTTGTCCTGCACTTTGTGATCACCCTTCACAACAATCCTTCCTGCAACACCTCGACATGTACACGCACGGTAATTAATAATTAATTAATTAATCCATAGCTAATTCAGTCACAGAGCACAGTTGGAGAGCTGCTCCAATTCAGGGTTTTAACCCAGGTTCCCAACCACAAGGCTTCTGCCCACAGCCCAGGAGAAAGCTGGGGCTTCTTATCCCTGCCTGGCTCCTCTTTCACCAATAATGATCGGAAGGTCTGGGGCTGACTCCAGTGAGGAACAGCATAATTTCTGAAGCCTGGGACCATCCTGCCAGACCCAACAGTATGAGGTTTTGGCCAGCATGTCCTAAGTCTAAGCTGTGTGTGAGACAACTTTCTTCTTTTTAATCATTGGCCGAAGAAATCTGAAGGTCTGAAGAAAGATCAGAAATGAAAAAGGGCACGAAAAGCGGACAGGAGACCCTGTATATTCTTTTCCACGCACCAGCAAAGCAGAGACCGCTGATAAAACCACCCCCACCCCCGGACCTGCTCTGTGCCCTGCTGCAGGAAGACGTGTTGCTGCCAGCTGCCCCCTCCACCCCCAGCTCCCTTCTGCACCACTCGCTGACAGCTTTGCTCTGTTTTTTGAGGGCACAAGCCCGTATCTAGCCACTGACATGTCCCTGAAAAAAATCACTTTGATGTAAAGAAATAGCTTCCCAGAGAAACCTCCACTGCTCGCCCCTGAGGAAGCCGCTGGCTTGCCACCGAGCAGAGGCTTTTCTGATGCTGGTCCCAGCAGGGAGCTCCCTGGTCCTTCCTGATGGCAGAAACTGAGAGCAGGGACACCTCCTCAGAGGATACTCTTCTGAGCAAGGCAAGCTCCTCCGGACCTGAGCCACTGCAGGGAACAGAGGCTGCCCTGAGCTGACCAGCGTTAGGTAACCGTCCCTCCGGGACATGGGCTTCCAGCCGGCCAGGCTGCTTCCCATGCAGGAAAGCAGGGCAGGTGCTCTCTGAACACCCCGCAGCGCTCACCGGGTGCGCTTCGGAGCTTTACCGCTACCAGCCAAGACAGGAACCTGCAGCTCCCACACGCTGTGGGTTTCTCTGGGTATTAAAGCAAAACTTTCTCCAGGCTAAAGGGTTCGCTTGCGCATTGGGGTCTCACGGCTGCAGGGTTACACATGCTGGGGCTCCCCAGCTGCAGGGTCAGTGCCAGCAGGTCCCACATGCCCCTTCCCATCAAGGCAAAAGCTTAATCCCACAGAGCTCTGTCATCAGAGGGACCCATGGCTTGTGCAACAACATCTCTCTGTCTCCAAATGTCACTGAGGACAGCTAGCTTGTCCCAAAGGCAGTCAAGTGTCTCTCAAGCACTTAAGAAATGCAGATTCAAGTGAGGTCAAACATTTCCAACTCCCAGGGTCTGTCTGCAGGCTAAGATGGAGAGCTCCATTTCTGGGGCAATCCCAATGGGCTGAGAAGGTCTCGAATACAGGGTGAGCCCATCCTGGATTCAGCAAATCCCCAGCAAACAGAGCTGACACTTCTGTCACACACAGGATCCTCCTCTCCAGCAGTGCATTAGAAAAGCCCTGCCAGTGCACACAACAGCTGCCTGAAGCTCAAAATAAATAACCATGGTGCAAGCAGCAGAGCTGCGAGAGCCCTGTGAGGTGAGGACACATCTGCTCCACATCCCCTGGGGACGGCAGAGCTCCTTGCTGCCTTCAGTGAGCCTGGCCTCGGCTGACCCCAGCTGCACAGGGGTGTCTCGGTGAGCACTGCACGTGCCAGAAAACACTGATGGCTCCTGTGCATGAGGCAGAATGAAACTACAGCCAAGCAAAAATAGCTCGGAGCCACTTCCACACTCCATGGGGCCGCCCCTGGCCCCCCTGGGGCACAGGCAGATGCATGGCAATGGCAGGTAAGAGCTGCTCCTGGTGCAGGAGCCTGGCACAGGCAGCAGCCCTGGGACACAGCCAGGGAAAAGTGATGCAAAGCCCGGGAATGGGATCAGGTCTGCAACGGCTGCAGGAGATGCCCTACAAGCAATCCCTCACTGGCACTCAGAAAGGGCTGGCAGGCTCAGGAACACAGGGACACTGCCTCAAACCTGAGACACTTCCCTCAGCCCCAGCTCCTGGGCTTGGGTCCAAGCAGCCGCGTGGTGCCTGCAGCAGCAGATACACGGGGAGCAATGGAAGAAGCACCCAACCTGCATTTAACTGGGGATGAACCCCCCACACCTCGGGAAGGAGGGACATTGGAGGGCTTCTCCCTGCCTGCAGGGCTGGAAGTAACCACAGCTTCTGGACATGCAGCCAGGGACACGCCGGCTGCTGGGGAGGGGACAGCTGCCCTGGGGACACCGTGCTCATTGACCCACTGTGCTCATCAACCCACCACAGGGTACTGCGGGCTGCAGCCAGGCGCCGGCGATAAACGGCAGCTGTCCAAGCGGCTTTTCTGAACCTCTCGTACAGCGAGAGGGGAGTAAGCAAGCCCCGAGCACAAGCCTGGGGGATGAATCTCCCAGAGGTTTGCGATGTCCGCACAGAGAAACAACTGCGATGGCAGCACTGCAGTTCATACCATGCCTGCAGTGAAGCATCGCAGGCAAAGCCCTCCTCCTCCTCACCTCTGCTGCAGGCAGGCGATTTGTGGGCTGGAAGACAGCAGCTCCAGTCCCAAGGGAAGCACCAGCTGCCACCTGGGATCTGTCACGGGCAGCCCTGCCTTCCCAAGGAGCAGGCTGGAATACTGCCCCACTGCCCCGAGGGACAGCTCACCCTGCCAAGCCTCTTGGGGCAGATAGAGACTAGGCAACCTCCCGAACACAAAAGTGGCGGTATTAAAC